ACCCGTGTACAATAATTGAACACAATAAACAATAAACATAACCTAATTTTAAAATTAAATATAATTTTAATTGAATATAAATAATTTATAAAAAATTACTTGTTTGTTTTATTTGAAAAAAAACTTATAATTTTAARAATGGATTCTCAAACGCCCTCTATTATATACCCACGCAACGAAAGTTCAGGGGTACTCAAAATTCGATGTTATACGTAAAACCATTAAATGACGATCATAAGAAACCTTTTATTTTACTATTAACCATTAAAATACGCGGAATCTTGTACGAATTCGTGTTAAAACGAAAAGGTGTATTATGTTGAGAAATAAGAAACGAAAAAACATACATGAAGTTAAGAAATATTTCCCTTATTTCAAACTGTAACATTTTGAGATACAACCCAGACAACATTGTAGTTTATTGATTACCAGGGTCAGTCCATGTGGACGAAAATAGCCAGATAGTAATTCAGTATTTGAGTGTAGTAGCGTAGATGTGTAGTATGTTAGTAAAATAGTAACTCTGCAGACAGCGAGTCACGGCAAACGTTTCTGTTCGTATTAAAATTATTTTTTGATGCAAAATGGAAGCGCCTCTGATGTTCGAAGTGTTAATGTACCTTAATTCCTATTACTTTGGCATGTTTTCTATGTTTGAGTTCTCACTGATATGTGCCAAGTCAATAGATGATGCTCAAAAAAAGTCAGTTTCTCTCAATGAACTCGGGACTAACATGACAGTATTTGTGTTTCTATGTCTCATTGAAGTGTTCCGCACATTTTTATCACGCCGGGACAATGCGGCCGACAAGGCAATATGTGTCATCCTGTCACTCATTCTAACTGTGCCATCAGCCATAGGAGTACTGTATTTTTTGCTTTGGCAACAAAGAACTTTTCGGCTGGAAAATATTCTAGGATGTATACAACTTATGCTTCAAGCAACTCAAGTGTTCTTTGGCATTGTCTCATTACTGACATTCAAAAGCAGTGATTCAACAACATGAAATTGTAATTTAAAAACAATTATTTGTTACTTTTTATTTGTACATAAACCCAAGATATTTTTATAAAAAATCATAAACTAGTTAATTTTATTACCTTTATTTATACTTTGAATGTTGTATGATTAGGAACTTTTTTTGATTTTATACGAAAATGACAATAGCAGCGTACAAATACTGAAATGAAAACAAAAATGATTCCGAGTGCAGCCATTACACCAATAGGATGATGGTATCTTATACAGGAAATTACTATTGATAGACCCTGAAAAATAATACAAAACATTTATAAATTGATAGTTAAGTTGATTTATATCATACAAATAATTGATAAAATTACCGAACCAAAATATTAAACACAGTTATCACAAGTACAAATATGTGATTAATTATATTTAGGAAAATATTAAAATACATAAATTTGATAAAATTTACTACAGCTATGGTTTACTTTTAATTTTAAGTGTAATTAAATTTGTATTGTTATAAAAAAAATTATACCTATTAAAATTTTAAAAAACTAATAATATTATAAAATTAGGTTTAATTAAATATACTTCAATATTATTAAATTATTGTTTGTTTTACTTGTCTTATGGTCATTATTATAGTCAACACAATTGGTCCAAACTTAGAAATAGTTCTATATATGAATAGTTGCCCACATGCAGAGCTTACAGACAAAACTATGCAGTCAGTTAAAAATGCTGGATACTAAAACAGAAAATGTGTTACTTTTTGTTGTATAAAATAATATAAAATTAATGTCAATAAGACACCTCTTTAATAAATTCATATGTTTTTTTGAATGAGCCCACTTGATACAGTGGTATAGTTGTAAGAAGTGATGATAGTAATGAATTAGCAAAAACCATTTGCATAGAAGTAACTTGGTATTGAGTGAACATTTTTCCTTGCCACGTTGATGTGAAGCTGTCTGTTGTTAAGTATCCTACAAGCAAGATTACTCCGGTTGCGCAAGTTGTGATGTCTAAAAAAAAACATGGATTATAAATATCAAAATGTTGTTATTATAAGCTTATCTCAATAATTATTTACCAGAATGTTTGTTTTCTGTAAAAAATTGAAATATAGCCATACCAATCCAAATTCCTATTGCTGTGACATACTCGTAGTATTGGTACTTTTTACCAGACATTAATTTTCCCATTAACATAACTGGGATAATTTTACAAGTTTTTGCTAATACCTTGATAATATTTATAATATAAGATGGTATAGTAARTATCCTTAAGATAAATTGTGCATACCTGTGWAGGAAAACTGACATATTTGAGTGACTCATATTGACACCAAGAACTTATAATGTTGGACACAGTACAATAGCTATATTTATATAAAGGTGGTGATTTCTTGGATCGTATACCCTCATTCATAAATAAAAATATACCAGACAAGACTGTAGATAAACCTCTATTCAAAAACACCAACATTTGAGAGTCACGGAACTTTGAAGATTCGTTTATACCATAAGACTAATAGAAAAAAAAAAACAAATAACTATAAAAAAGRAAATCTAWTCAATTATGTTTACCTTCAATTATTATTAATAATGCTTCAATTACCTCAGACATCATTTTTTCTTGAATAACACCCCAAATCAAATAAGATGCTTGCAAGCCTCCAAAACAATATGCAAAAGTTATTACGTCTTTTCTAAAATTAGATGGTCCATTGTAACTGGGTGATAAAGGTTGCTCAGGTTCTGAATCATGCTTATCCCCAAACAATGTTTTTAACAACTTACTTGTTAAACGGTTATCTGTTTTGCATCAAAAAAGTAATGACAATGTTAAATCAAATTCCTTAAATCATTTGAGAATTAAATTAATTTAAACATTCAATTTTAGTATTTACCTCCCAAATCTTGTTTTTTTGAAAATTTGTAAAGCCAATATCCAGGGATTAATATTAAGCAATATCCAAGACTATTGTTAATAAAAGTACTTAATGAAGATACATTTTGATTAAAATTTGACAATACTGCTAATATATTTTGTAAAACAATTATTGTAATAATAGATACCAAAACGGAAAACCTAAAAATAATATATAATTTATAAAATTAATATTTAGGTCTTCAACATCATAGTTAACTCCAAACATACCACAAAATAATTTATTTCATTCAGATTTTCATCACTTTAAAAATTAGTAATTATTTAATAATTAAGTAAGTTTTACTTTTTTTTT